ATGGCTACTAGTTTCCTTCGTGTTATTAACCTTAATGATGACATATGGCTCTCTGAGTTGACCAGAGGAGTGTGTTGGTTCCACCTTCGACATGCTAAAGCGATTCAAAACCATTTCCCATTATCTTTTGGACAATCTGGCTGGTTACATTTTTTCTCCCCCTCGATGTTAGTGGAGTTTAGAATCTCATAAAGACAAAAGGGAAAGATAAGTAAGGATCCCAAATTCACGTAAGAAAGCAATTCACAAGAATCAGCAATGGATGAGAAACAAAAACCAGATGAGATTCCAAGTTATTTGCACTATCTTCTTTCTTTTTACTTTTCTTTTTTTCCTTTTATCTTTATCTATATAACGGGATAAGAAGCCCAGAATTACACAACTATTAGGAAAAATAAAATGTATATGATTAAAATTTCAATGTTTCAAAAATCAATTTTTTATTATTTTTTAAATATTCTAAATTTCAAACTTTTCAATTATCAATTTCAAAAAAATGTTAACATCTTTTTAAATTTAACATGAAGTTTTTCTATAATTGTTTTGTATCTCTATATACCTAGTATCTTTAATTAAAACATAAGTGCGTTTGGACTTACACAGAGGAATGAAATTCAACTTTTTAGAAAATAAAACTGGTTGAAAGTTTAATATTATACTTAAGAAGTTAGCGAATTGTACTTTTATAATTTTAAACGTGTGAACGTTACATTTGGTGTATCATTGATAGCTACTTAAACTTGATTTGGGTGGTTACAACGAAAAATAAAGAAATTTAATGAATGACTAGAAATTTGGAGAGTCGAGGATTGGTCTATCGATGACTACTAGTTGAACTTGACTAGGATGCCTGAGTGATTATTCTTTACAATGTCTGAGTCGATAGACTTTCTTGTATTGGTCTATTAGTAAGATAAATGGACCAATATAATATAGATATTTTATTAGATTTCTTAATTTTTCTTCATTCGATGAAACCTACTGGATCTTGACTAGGATACCTGAATGATTAGCCTTTACAAAATCTTTTAGAAATTTTATTAGTGAAATAAAGAACTAATATAGATATTTTATTAAAGAGTCGTTTTTTTCAAAAGTCAACGTAGATAACTTATCTACATTGAGCTCAAAAGGATGTTGTTTTAAGGTGAAAATCAAGATATTTTTTCATTATAATTTTTTAATTTTTAACCCAAAACGACGTCGTTTTGAGAGTGAATTTAGATAACTTATCTATATTCACTTTAGAAACATTAAAGCCTTTATTAAATTACTTTTATTTTTCATTATTTAAGAAACTAGGTTGATTATTTACATTTAAATTTTATTAAAAAAAATTATAAATTTTTTCAGCTTTTTTTTTTTTTATACCTCTTCTGGGATTGGATTCAGGATGGGAAGAACCATAACTATTTATGATTATTAATGAGATCTTGATAATCTCACAATTTTAGAAATATGTATGTGAAGTTGGAATATCCAACAGTGGAAAATTGATTATTAATGAGATCATGATTAATCTCATATTTCTCAAAATAAATGATGAATATGGCAAAAAAAAAATTAAAAATTATAATTTAAATAATACATTACAGAATGGATGAAATTTTTAAATAATTTATGAATAATCACAAATTGCGCATCAATTTAAATGTAACTCGTCACAATTTGTCACGTGGCATTAAGGACATCCGTATATTATACAAATGACAATCTCTAATGCCACGTGGCATTGAGTTACGTCCAGAACTATTTACATTAATATCTTTTTATTTAAACTACAACTTTTTATTTTTTATTTTTGATGAATCTTCATTTTTCTTAAAGAAATATCCAAATTTTGTTTACCTAAATTAATGTCTCTTTATATTTCTCACGGATAAAGAAACAAATTAGAACGTAAAATTATTTCCTAAAACTTATTGAGTCTCTTATTAATGGCCTCTGGTTTTCTTTTTTTCCTTTTTTTTTTATAGCCTCTTTATTTTAACACAAAACCCTAAAGATTGATGTATCGTGTATTTAAATGCTCCTCCTATCCTCAAGTATGTTTTTATTCAAAGGATATGGTTTTATTTTATTATTATAATTATTGAATATAAGAATAAAATTTTTAACTTAAAAATATGAACCCCGATATAGAATATTGTGAAATTTAAAATCTATTCCAGTAACTGCACATGGAAGCAAGCAATTTTGTTGGGAACATAAAGCTTCCAATACTGTCATCACCCAAACACTGCTCTTCCTAGACAATAAAATTTAAATACAAATTTTTTTTTTTTTGGAGTGTTTTTTTGAAAATAACACTCCAATCGGTTCATTGCTTCGCAATTAATCCGATTTGAGACGGATCCAGATTAAGGCTTTAGACCCCTTCCAAAGGTGATTAAATACAAATCATTTAGTCTACACAACACATAATTTTTATTTGTTTTTACATTCTTACAAACATTTAAATTAAATTATAATAAAAGAAAAAACTAAAACATTTTAATATTCTAAAATTAAAAAAAAATAAGAAAAAACATGGCTATTTATATTCAGTGGCGTGACACCAGCTAATTTTTAAAAAATGATATAAATTTCTTCAAAAATTATGAGATAACCTTAATATTGGTTGAAATTTTAAAAATAATATAACATTGACACTAGCTGAATTATACCTGACGAGTCTTTTGGCAAATTGAGTTCTTTTTCCGGTTCCGCCACTGTTTACATTCTTCTTATTTTAAGTTTTTTTAGGCATAATAAAATCATATCCTTCGATACAATGACCTCTGATTTTACTTGTGCTAGCTCATCCTTTTGTAAAGAGTGATTATTCAAAGAATAATTTTTAAAATTGAGTAAATAGTATTTTTGGTTTTTAGAAATGTTCATACTTGCCGTTCAATGCTAATATAAATGTTATACAATATTTATTTTTTAAATTATTGAAACTCATTTCGCATTAGTCTTTATTAAATAATTAATAAAGACTAAATCATAATATAATTTAAGTTGAATACTAGATTGCATCAAGATATATTTTTAAGCACAAAAATGTCCATTTACTCTCTTTTTTCGGTAAAGATGTCCATTTACTTTTTAGAAAATAAATACAACACTAAGTTAAAAACAATGAATTAAATGACTCTAATATATAATTTTTTAATAACAAATTCAGTTTTCTTGATTTCAGGTATACAATTTCAAATCTAAATATTTTTTTTTTCCACCACGTAAGAAGGAATAATTAATAACGTAGTAGCACATTCTTTAGCACAATTACCATTCGTCCCATGTTTAGATGGAGGAGACTACTGCTAAGGCACGTAATCTCGCTTTAATGGATATTCAGAATCATATTCTTGCCTTTGGCTAAGTTATTTGAAGCATCTTTTTTGAGTCAAAAAAAATAAAGTATAAAGCTTCTTATTTTGTCATTTTTTTTTTAGACTAAATTTTATTAAAATAATAAAATACAATGTATTTCTTTTCTTTTTTTGTATAAACAAAAATACAATGTATTTCGATACTTAGTAAACCTCTTAATAAATGTTTTACTTATCTTAATAAACTCGTTTTTTTCATAGTTGATAAAGTCATATCTACGACAGCTTCACAAGCCTAAAATCTCAACGATAGACCTTCATCAATGTCTGCGAGTCACACTCAGGTCCAGGACATGCAAGTTCTACATGTACTTGAATTTATTTATTTTTTATTTTTATAAAAAATTCAATAATATTTGAATTTGATTTTGCTTAACTGGATTAGTAGAATAATTGATGAATTATTATATATATAAAAAAATTAAAAGTTAATTTAAACATATACCTTTTTCCACTATCATCATTATTGTAAATAAAAATGTTGTCTCAGCGTTAAAGTTTACGGGAGTGGATCCTCTTACGTGGAAAAGTGGTCATGTGATTATGTTTTTTTATCACAATCATTCATTGATGATGAGATAAGAGAAAAAAATATATAATTTTTAAATAAGCGATTGTGATCAAATAACATGACCACATAACTACTTTTACACATGATAGAATTCACTCTATGCCAACTATTTCTTGGAGAGAGAGAGAAAAAAAAAATGGGATTGATTACAATATTATTTGTTTTTTTAAAAGTAATAGGTATAAGAAACTGATATATAGATTAGGTATAAAAATAGGATTGTTAGTTTAATTATTATTAACAGACTGATTGAAACTAACCCGGCAAAAATTTCTATTTTTTATTTGTTTTTACATACTTACAAACATTTAAATTAAATTGTAATAATCTACCCAAAAAAATTTAAATTATAATAAAAGAAAAAACTAAAACATTTTAATATTCTAAATTTAAAAAAAAAAAAATTAAAAGTAAGAAATAGACAGTTTTCAGTGGAAATTTTTTAATAAGATAAGTGAGGTAATTATTTTATTGACAAATTATAAACATAAACAAATCATAATGATAAAATACGTAAAAAAAAAAAAAAAAAAAATTGTGACTAAAGTCTAAAGTGACCAGTCAAAGAGGCTATCCCTGTAGCATAGATTATTATTATTATTCCTTCTTTTTGTTTTCAATGTAACACTCCTTTATCAATGCAATCTCGTGTGAGTTCCACTGTACTCTCACTGCACGTTTCTGTTGTTGTTCGCAGTGTCACTATCCCTGTCTTCTTCCACCATAACAGTAGTCTCATCAGACACCATTCTTTTACCTCCTTACACAGCATTCTTGAGCCCTTGGAGCAGTAATAAAAGTAGGCAACTTTCCTCAACCTGTTCCAAAACTTGAAACTTTTGGAAGGTTGCATTGATGGGGTTGAAGGGAATGGTTACCTAATCCAATTTCTAAATTCTTTAATCAAACAAGTGCTTTTTGGTTTTTATATATGTACTTCCTTCTTGTACATAACCCCCAAAGCTCCTAAGTTTGAGGCAGCTCATGTTCTGTTTCAAACTCTGAGAAAACATTGTTATTGTGTTTCTTTGTTTTCTCTTCTGGGTCGAAAAATGTCAACTTTGCAGATGTCCCATGTTGATTTAGAACAAGGGAATCATCATCGTTCGGTTGTTGGAAGTGATGTGAGTCTATGCTTCTCTGATGCTGATGAGGATTCTTGCTATTCTCATTTCTATTCAACAAATGGTGGCTCTTACGATGATTGCAGCTTTGTTTGTGTTTCTGATCCTGAGGTTGTGGGTGTTCCTGATTCTGGGAGAGGTTCTTCAGTTACTGATTGTTCTGTGGAGGTGGAAACTAGAACTGGGGTTCCTGAGATTAAGGTGCATTTGGCTAAAGTGGAGAGGGATTGTAGGATTTGTCACATGGGTTTGGAGAGTGACAGTCATGAGTCTGGTGCTCCCATCGAATTGGGTTGTTCTTGTAAGGATGATTTAGCTGCTGCTCACAAGCACTGTGCTGAGGCCTGGTTCAAGATTAAGGGAAATAGGTGAGTCTGAAACTCTTATCTTTCCTGATTTTGATTTTAAAATTTGATTTTTATGCTAAATTTCAAAGCTTTTGGAAAACTTTTAGACACCCGTTTCTTTGTTGATTCATTGCATTAAGAATTAGAACTTCTCAAATCTCTTGGTGCTACTAGAAAGATCCACAATTAATGACATTTTTTATAATGACTATAGAGTAGGAAAGTAATTAAAGTATTTAGTTTGGGAATTTGAGTTGTGAATTTTTTAATTAAGGGGTGAATGAAAAGCTGAAGAAGATGATGGAAAAAGTATTTGGAAGAATATTTTAGAACGTTTAAAGAACAAAATTGTAAGGAGCAAGGCTCAATAATTTCTTCAAGAAAGGGGAAAGTTATAGAAGATGATGGAAAAAGAGTTCCCCTGATTCGCTGACATGACTAAGCAGTAAGCACAGTGGGATTCTTTGTTGCTTTGTCTCTCTTCTGAAATTTAGGAATCTCCATATTACTGTTTCTTTTCTTTCTTTCTTTTTTTCTTTTTTTTTTATCACTTTCAAAGTGGAGGTTTGACCCCTCCAGCCTCGTATTCATTTCTTCAAATATCTTGGTGGATTTGCTTGCTGATGTGCCACCTAGAATATTCTAATAAATAAATTACTGTTCCCAGATAATTTGTTCATTAAGATGCATGATGACATATAGATTACATAATTGTTGTGCCTTGTGCGTACCACAAGTACTCATCTGTCATCACATATGTCAAGTTCCTTGTTGTAGTTTTTAGAGGTAGGATATTTCCATACTCATATACAGCTTCAGTAGTGTCACTTATATTTAACAGTTAAAACCTTTATTCAGTGGCACAATGCTAATCCTTGATTTTTGTTGCAATCCATAAATTTTGAATCAAAACAATGAGACAAGTTTTCTATGCTTTTATGAATATATGGTTGGACATACTTTATTAATGGATGGTGACCGTCCATCTTTCATTTTTAGTTGAAAAGCATTTTGTAGGGGCCATTTGTTGAGGAAGGATCAATCGTTTTATCTAATGCATACGCAAATCCATCCAAGTGGGTTACTTCTTGGCTAAATTAAAATCCCATAATGGAACAGAATTTGAATATTTTCTATTTGGGAATCTTCTTTAATATGTGTTTTGATGCCTTAATTTGTGGCAAATAAGTCATGATATCTTTTTTTCCTTAGTTTTGGGGGTTTAAAAACGCTACATGTTTTGTCAAAGACAGTTGTGCTTTGGTAAAGGCAATTGTTTAGTTGTATACATAGATTCGAGTTGAGCTAACTATAAAATCATGAATTTTTCTGACTAGTTAAACCTTTCTGCCATGACAACATAGTATAAACTGTTGTGTTAATTGATGATTAACTTTATTAAATTTAAATCTGTTGAGATATATAGTCCCACATTGGTTGTATGTGCAACTAATGTGGAGTTTATAAGGTCTTGGGCACTCTCACCCTTTGAGCTAGCTTTTGGGGTGGTGTATCCCAAGGTTCTTTACATGGTATCAGAGCCTCGCCGCCCCCCACTTTCTCTTGTGGCGTTTCTTAGCACAGGTAGGCTGGGCCTGTTGCATTGTCCACTCTTCAAGCCCAATGGGCTCTCGTGTGAGGGGGCGTGTTGAGATATTTAGTCCCACATTGGTTGTATGTGCAACTAATGTGACCTTTATAAGGTCTTGGGCACTCCCACCCTTTGAGCTACCTTTTGGGGTGGTGTATCCCAAGGTTCTTTACAAAATCAAATTCATTTATCTCAAGATTGAGAGAATAATTGCTCTGCCCTTCAGCACTTCTTATAATGTATGAGCTAAAAACGTTCAGGGTTTTCTTATATGATGTTTTGAATTCGTGCATGTTAACATTACGGTCTTTTGTTTCCATATTTTCTATCATTCAGACATAATTGGCAGGGCAATTAGTTCTTAGTTTTGCTTGTTTGTTTAGAGCATCCAGTTTTGGAGCTGATAAGAATGCCCTTGATGAATAATTATATATATGATTGCACCAATGTATGCTGGTTGGGGCATGTATAAAACCATAGCTTTTTGGGATTTATCATTTCTACTTTCTTCAAGTCATTCAACTGTGCAATCAAAATAGTAGTTATTTACCTTCCACTAGTCTGCTTTGAGCATTATCACACCTGTTGTAAGGGGAGGCTCTAGATCATTTTCTCTATTTTCAGAGATCTTTAATTAAGAAAAACAAGCTCCTTATCACTTAAATCAATGGTCGTTGATAGTAGCTATTTACCTTTAACCGATTTCTCTTTTAATTTCAAAATTTGTAATTTTTCTAATTATGCTTAAATTTTAATAGGACATGTGAAATTTGTCATTCTGTTGCACGGAATGTTTATGGAGCAAATGAGGAGTCAACAGAGCATTTGAACGACACTAACAATGCTACTGCAGCAGCTGCACTCTCAACTCCTCCACCAGAAACTCGAAGATTTTGGCATGGCCACCGCTTCTTGAATTTTCTGCTTGCATGTATGGTTTTTGCATTTGTCATATCATGGCTTTTTCACTTTAATGTGCCATCATCCTAGCTTCCTGAGGCAGTTTCATCTATAATTTAAAGTAAATTTAAAGCAACCAAGATAAACATGAAAAGAAAACGGAGGAAAAAAGAAAGAAAATCCCACTCTAGAATCCATGGAGATAGTTTTTAGAATCATATGATTTGAGGCCTTGTTGACTTTATATAAGTAACAGTATAACTTCCTTTCGTCCATGCAAATAGACAACTGTTCATTTTAAGTTGTGCATTCGTCCTAAATTATTGAGCTTTGTAGGGTTTTCTTATTCTATCTTTCAGAATCAATGTAATTTATGGACAATTACTAGAATGTTTATTCAAATGTATATTATACATTATATTAAATTGTCACTCCTGTGCTTTTTTCGTGCATGGTGATTTCTCCTATTGGTTTATTTATAAGTGATTTTAGTGAAGGCTCTTGGTGGTGTTGCAATTTGTTTGGTTTGTTTGGGTGGTTAACTTCTCTGCATTCCGGGTTAACCTCTTTAAGAACAATAAATAAACAAGTAGTTTTTGTTAGTATCATTCCGGGTTAACCTCTTTGATATAAGGAATGCTTTGTTTCACAAATTTTTTCACAAAAACCTAACATGTGGTGGATGTAATTATATTGAGTTGTTTAATTTGCGTTCAGGTTTGAAATGCATTTAATAAATGTTGTAATTTCCATATTCTTGATTTGACTGAAATTTAACTACAAGAAAACTTGAATCTGATTAGGATTTGATTTGGTTTTGATTATTTCACCCTTGAACTATAAATATTAATTTGTATCTTATTTAAATACATATATAAATAATTAATTCAACTCAAAAATTTAAACCCTTGAAAAGATTGGCCTTTAGTAATTTTATATTATGTCTCTGACAAATTCCCTCGTGCAAAAACTTATTAGACTTGAAAAATAAATGATATATCAGGCCCAGTTTATCTGTGTTAAGAAAATTCATAATATTTATTTATTTTAAGGTGAAATAGTTGTTTTATAACACATTTGATATTAATTAATTACATTATTCTGTCTATTTTTTTTCTTTACCACTTGTGCTGTTTATTACTACTTTTATAATAAATATCAATTTTTTAATCAAATTTGTATCACAATATATCCATATTTTTTAGCCTTTGACCGGGTCGTCCCTAGAGTGGCTATTGTAGGATTTAAACCCCTCGCATTGCAGGTAAAGTTCGCATGGGGTCGCAGCTCATGTTCAGCAGGACCAACCATTGTTGGATCACAAAATATTATATCGTTTTGCTGTTTACTCTAATAAGTAGAAATTTTGTTAGGTAAACAATTCTTACCATAAATATTTCATGTGTTATGTAGACCATGTTAAAAATGCATTTATCTCTAAAGAAAAGTTTTGAACATCTCAACTAGTGAATAAAGCACTTATGTAGGTAGATTACCAAAAAAAAAAATAACACTTATGTAGGTAATGCCTAAATAAAGGTTCTCCTAATAACTTAGAAGTTGGAAGTAGGGGTTTATTTATTAAATGGGAAAAATTCGAAGGGACATAGATAGGAATATAAAAAAAAACAAGGATTAAAGTGAAAAAAAAAATTACTCCTTTAAATAAATAAACGGATGTACCAAGTTCAGTATATCAGATGTACCAAAAATTTGCTCCTTTTCTAAACTTTCCGGCGGCAATTTTCTAGGTCCCACCCTAGTGATAGAGTCTCTCATGGTCCCAATGGGACTTGAAAAAGATAGGATAATTTTTTTGTAGATATTAAGGTGGTGTTTGGTGGGGAGCTTTTTAGCGAATATCTATCTTTCTCAAGTATGGCTTTTAGAAACACCATGTTTGTTTCAACGTTTTTCATCAAAAACCCATCTATTCAATTTGTCTGGATTTATGAGAAACATAGATATCCGCACTGTTTAGAAACCCAATTTGAAGGTGGGATTTTTCGGAAAACTGGTTATCTGGCTTTTAATGCACTGTTGATTTCATAAAGTTACCTAATTTTCCCAGTAAAGTTTTTCCCCACCAAACAACTTTTTTTTACATTTTTCTACCTATCTCACTTTATATATCTTTCCAATTATTTCTCTATCTATCTCATTTTCCTACTATTCCAAAAAAAATTCCTGAACCAAACGCCCCTCGATAGTTTTGATTAATCCAATTTTGGATTTGATTTTTTCCATTCTACGCTCGAACCAAACCTATCACCCTTTCAACAAGTCAAATTCTCAAATGTAATTAGTTGGTCACTAGATGGACAACTCTTGAGTACATAGGATCATTTTTCGTTGTGGACCTTCTACATTGTTTTGGAGGAAAGGTTAAACACAAGACTAGCATCTAGCCATCAAATTAACGTACAAAAATATCCTTTGTCTCTTTAAATTCATCCGTTACTGAAGACAGCAAAAGGAAAATCTGTACCATTTTGAACTTCTGTTTTTCTTGGCTTCCATGTTTTTACCATCTTTGAGACTTTCTTGTGCCTAATTCTCCATTCCAAGTCTGAAAAGAAAAGCTGCTTGAAGAGATACAAAGTAGAAGAAAACTGAAGATACACCTTTTGGGCTTGCATAACATCCAACAAAGCTTCCAATGGCATGTCATTCATCATATAAGATAAGCAGCTTCTATCATGCACAGTAGGTGATACCATTTTCCCCATATCTATGAAATGAAAAAGGCAAATAATGATTTCATTTCAGGGTTAAACCACTCCTACACTGTCATAGTTGCACATAGCTAAAAGCTGAAAGATGGTAATATATGCTTACTCATCATGTATTGCTCATTTTAAGAAGCAAACTGTTTTAATAGTTATTGAAGCATTATGCATAGTATCCAATCTAAGTAATAGTACTTTAAAATTTATCCCAAGTTCTTGACATGGTATCAGAGTCTCGTCGCCCCTCATTTTCTTTCAAGTGGAACTTCTTAGCACAGGTAGGCTGGGCCTGTTGCATTGTCCATGCTTCAAGCCCAAAGGGCTCTCGTGTGAGGGGGCGTGTTGAGATATATAGTCCCACATTGATTGTATGTGCAACTAATGGAGAGTTTATAAGGTCTTAGGCACTCCCACCCTTTGAGCTAGCTTTTAGGGTGGTGTATCCCAAGGTTTTTGACATGGTATCAGAGCCTCGCCGTCCCCCACTTTCTCTTGTGGCGTTTCTTAGCACAGGTAGGCTGGGCCTGTTGCATTGTCCACTCTTCAAGCCCAATGGGCTCTCGTGTGAGGGGGCGTGTTGAGATATATAGTCTCACATTGGTTGTATGTGCAACTAATGTAGCCTTTATAAGGCCTTGGGCACTCTCACCATTTGAGCTAGTTTTTGGGGTGGTGTATCCCAAGGTTCTTAACAAAATTACTTACCTCTGTGTAGAACTCTATGGAAGTGGCAAAGTGCTTAGCTCGAAAAGCAGGATCTCCTTGCTTCTTCAAATTCAAGGCATTGAAAGGAAAGCTGCAATTCCCACATTAAGCAGAACTAGCATTGGAGTTAGTAACAGAAAGTAGGGGGAAATTGAACACACAATTTTTATTACTGGACCATATTAAAGTTGTTACATCTCTTGACAGCAACTCATTGATCTCTTACTAACATAAGACATGGGCTGTGCTTGAACATTTAAAAAAAAATTATGAACATTATTATGAATAATATACCAAAATACTGTTAAATAGAATACAACATTCTCCGTTTATTAATTTTCTTAATGTCAAAATTGCTCAAATTGGAGTTGAGCTTACCAAATATACATATCATTATACAACTTAGTTTCCTAATCAGAATTTTAATAATATCCGTAACATGAAATTCTCAGGAATGTAAACCCACAATTATTGTAACATAATATAAAAGAACCTTGTGTAATAATCCACAATACTACAAGTGTATAACAGAGTTGCGTCCTAATATGGTATGTACGAAAATGATAGTACACCCTACATGCTATATGTGTATTCTTAAGCAATAACATCCACGCCATGAAAAAAAATAAAAAACTGAACGTCTTATATAACTGAAGGGGATATAGAAGCAATAATGATAGGTCAATCACCATTGAAGCCATCTATTTTTTATGGCTGAGTCAGTGACTCACTGGCAGATTCCTTGGCCATCTTTTATTCTTCGAGTTCTGAAGTTATGCCATCAGTTCAGGGCATACACTAATGCAGCACTGAATCACTCTTTCTACAGACCTTGTAAACAATATACACAAACATCCTATAAAACCTTTACCTGTACTTGAACTGTAGAATTGTCATAGGACAACCCCACCCAACTCTAATTTTGAACCTGTTTCTCTAAATTACGCAAGCACTGCTACCTTTTGTAAATGACATCGCTGGTGTGTGTGGCATCTGGAATATTATATGATTATAGAGACATTTTGCAGTGTAGTGTTAAACAGAAAGGTCACATCCACATGGATGATCAGGGTAGCTTATCTGTAGTTACAATTCGTATACTCTAAAGAAGATAGTGGCACAAACTATGTAATATAGGATCATAAATGGAATATATGGATGGACCAAGATGTTATTCAATAACTTAAATGAAAATATACAAGTTTGTGCATACTCATACAATAAACAACATAGACAAGGACATCACTATAACAGTCTACATTTTATATTATGAGCAGAGAATAAAAGTAATAAATATGAAGAGAAAAAAAAAAAAAAAGGTATCACATCATAACTGAGGAAGTTGTCCTGGCCACTGACTAGCTGTACTATTTATCATTTTACAAGCTAGAATATCTTTAGAAAGTTGGACATATCTCCTTTAGTGACCTTTTTGATTCCCTAAAAAAATTTCATGAAATGTTTAGGGATTTTATTACATTGTGCTGCATTTACCAAAAGCGGAGAAAGTAAAATATTTATATTTGCCCAAGTTTTTGTATCCTATTGAGAAATTTACATGGATTTAAATCATCTTATGTTAATTACTAATATAACAATAACATAATAATATCATGTAATGAGAGGGAAAGATAGAAAAGCAGCTGCAATAAGACCTACTATTATTTGTAGGGTCTATTAATAGTATAGATCAGATGCAGTTCTTGTGCAGTTAACGCAGTTAATGATCTAATGGTCAAAAACTTTTTTTTTTTTTTGGAAATATTACAATCGATTAATTGCTTCGCAATTAATCTGATTCGGGGCGGATCCAGGATTAAGACTTTAAATCCCTCCCAAAGGTGGTACTGGGGAGGTTCGAATCTCTCCAGTACTACCTTTGGGAGGGGTTTAAAGCCTTAATCCTGGACCCGCCCCGAATCAAATTAGTTGCGAAACAATGATCCGATTGGAATATTTCAAAAAAAAAAGGTTTTTGACCATTAGATCATTAACTACGTTAACTGCACAAGAACTGCATCTAATCTATACTATTAATAGACCCTACAAATAATAGTAGGTCTTATTGCAGCTGCTTTTCTATCTTGCCCTCTCATTACATGATATTATTATGTTGTTGTTATATTAGTAATTAACATAAGAAAACTTTTAAATCATGTTTATTTTAACATTTTATCATAAAACAAAATGTTTTCAAAGGACAATATCTTCTGCATTTTTTGGTGATCCTAATAAATAAAACGACAGAAACAAAATCCAATTTAGATATATGCCCTTAAATAGCCGTATCTATATGTTTCTATTAATGGTACATATATAAAAACCATTAACAGTGACGCCTTTGGAGGCTCATTAGAGTTGGCTTTAATTATGCAACAAATACCGCAAGGTTAGGAAAGATAGGCTTTAATTATGAGGCTATGCATGCATTGGGCACAAACTTTACCAATGCATGGTTTTGGGGTACTGATAACATTGTTGAGAAAAATGATACCCAATTTGTTAGACCTAGTGTTTGAGCAACTTACGTATAGGCCAGAAGAGAACTGTGGCCCATGTGAAAAGGAGAAGATGCATGTGATTGGTCTGCCTTAGGAACGGAAACCTGGAGGGAATTTCAACTTCAAAAACGGAATCACATACGAGGCACAAGGATTAGGACAGTTCATAAAGCATTATTATGTGTGGTAAGCACATGATAAAAAGCACCTTGTGCTTGTTCAAGTCACTCATCACCATTTCAGTTTTAGGACTTAATCAAGCTTCATTACTTTTTTATAACCACCAAACTCATCATTTGAGGCAATTTACCGTCCAATAATTAGTATTAGCAATCATTCCAGTCCTCTAATCCTTTTCACCCTCAACCTGTAAAATTTTTAGGTAAGAGTAAAGGGTAATAGTTGTCTCAAAAGATGAGATTTAATTTCTTAATAATATCTTATATTCAATAGTGTATTAAAGTCATGTGTCTGTATTATATTCAGCGGACTAACATAGTACTCTGAGAGTACATAAGATTTCATCCATAAACACTATCAGCAAGCAACAAATGTTCAAGGGTCGGGTTTTACTTAAATTATTGGTCCAGAAATCGAATTAACTCTTTACATTAGAAATTCTGATTACACTTTACAAAGGATTTCCTCATAATGTAACAGCATGGAGATAAAAGCACCAAAACCAAATACTAGAAATACAGTATGCAGACGGTACTCAAAATGGAGGCAAAATGGATTGGATAGTTTAACTATGACAATGGATCAGGGCTGCAATACCCAGTTACTATGTCATTAATACAAATCAGGCTACTACTAATATTCCAGGTAACAAAATCTTCTAACTGATGGTTGTGGCTTTCCAATGACAATATTGCAGCAGATCCACTTTTTACAACACAAGCTCATATATCTATGCACCATTCTTTGCAGAGTCAGCAAGGAGTGCATTGCCATCTTCCATAATCTTCCCATTTACTTGAGTTCTCTGCCTCTGAGACAAGTGACAATAACCATGTTATGTCCAAATCATAGACAATGACATTACATAAAAAGAAAAGTACAGGAATATTCAGCATACCCAGTCTGCAGGGTCTACAGAATTCCCATTCAATAATTTGTGGTTCTCTTCTTTGGTCCTTCCATCTTTGTCTTTGGTGCTCAATGGGAGCAGTAGGGTTGCAGCTGTCCGGTCTGGCAATTCTGTAGAATAAACTAAGTTAGAACATCAGCAAATAGCTGCTCAACTAAATGACAATAGCATACAGAATTTTTATGTCCAAAAGTGCAAACCTGGCAATTTCTTCTCAATAAAAAATACCACCAAATTAACAGTGTACCTGCAAGGGATCAAAAATTAAATCAAAAAGGACATGAACCACAATTTGCCCATCACAAATCACAAAATGCTCCTTACCAGGCAACAACTACATCAACTGTATAATGTTTGCGGGATGCTATAATCAAAAGACTCTGAACCACAGCAAGAAAGAACCCTAGCTGCTTTATCCACCTGCAGCGTTTCATGAATAATGACAATAAGTCATAAATGGCAAGTTGTAAAATAAACAATGAAGTAGCCAAAGATTACTAAAATCTTCTGGAACTTAAATCATCACAACGATGAGCCAGACCCATATAAAAGAAACTTATGAGCCAATTTACCTTCTTGTGCCATATCTCTGATATGTAAGAACAAAGACTAGAGTAAAGATCATGTGTGATGAAAATATCAAATCACCACATCCATATATCACGCCATGAGGAACTGCACAATGAAAACCAAATGAGCAACAAAACAACCACCAAGGCATTGCAGCTAAACAACTTCAATACAATAGTATACTAACAATTAATTAAGAGGACTTCAAGGACACTATCTGGAGGAGGCAGTGTAGCAAGTTTAGATCCCTGCATAATACAAGTAACAAGTAGTAGTGTTACATTAAAAGAGTGTTTAAAAAACACACCTCAGACACATGTAATTCACCACTCAAAGAGAAAGAAAAGAAACAGTTAAATTGCGAGTGACAAGATGTTTGTTGAACAACCAGACATTCTCAAAATAACTATACCTCACGGCAATGGTAGTTTGGACCAGGAAGCTGCGTTGAATAAAATGTCACTATGCGAAGAGCTTGAGAAGCCTGCAGTTAACAATTAAAGAGCCAGACATCATTAATAAACTGTCATATATTGCATCCAAATGCAATAGGTTATCAAATCAACCGAAAACATTTAAATGGCAGTGACTTGACTCTGTTGACTACACTAGACAAAAGGAAGTGAAGTATATGACTAAGGAATATGTTAAGTTAATAACAGATTTATGATCATCACGGGTTAATTCCTAGATCAATTAATCAGCTTATTTATGAACTTAGGTTTCATTCCTTAAATGTTCAGACTATTAAGCATTAAACTTAATTTGCTTCCAAAACAATGGCAATTATCCATTTCTGTACAAGATATCTCATGGAATTCATTAGTAAGTTTCACAACTAGATAAAAAAATGCGAAGGAGAAAAGAGCAAATCCAACAAAAAAGGAGCACGTGAAGCAACACACAATAACTCAAAATCTAACCCTAAGCACTCACATGTTCAAAAAGAGTTCTAAAATAATTAGACAATACTTCAATAAACATGTGATAAACACTTACAACTAAGAAAGACAGAGCCCTGCACCATATTAGAACTGTATAGATCTTTTTGCTCTTGAATATGAAAGGATGAAATGTCCACTGCAAAAGCACATAATGTAGAAAATATCATAAAAACCATGACAGTTATCATAAAAGAAGAAGATAAAAAAAGGGGAGAGAATTCTTACCAGGATAAAGGATAAAAAGATAAAGGTAAAAAGAGTTTCACTAATGTAAGCTTTGTCTTGCCCAAGCTCCTGTAACAGCACCAAGATTAAAAATTCAAAAGGCAATCCTATGTAAGAGATTTTTCAAGAGCAAGAAAGATTTAGACAAAGAAGAGAATTGACAATTACAAACCGGAAGGAGGAAGAATCCAAGATCCTGTAGTACTGGGCCAGGCCTATGTAAATAATGAACTCCTCGGGCAGCCAAACCGTGTATGTACTGTAGGGAAACAGTTTAAATTTTAATTTAGATATCAAACAATAAAAGAAAATAAAAAGTATGCAGTAACTTAATGTACTATACAAATACCACTCATGCATAAGTCAGACAAGGATATAAAAGTTACAAAAATATATACAAAATGTTTGCCATTCTTAAATTTCTTTTCCTCTCCTCAAACACAAATTAAGAAAAAAAAAATCCTTGATCAAACATTTCTACACTATATTAGTCTTCAACAAGCACATGGAAACTATTAAAGTTTTTCTATGATAGAAATGAAACATTTGATCATTGTGAAAAACAGAAAGCCTAGAGCTCAACGTGGACTTGAGTAAACTTGTAATTCAGATGTAATTAATTAGGTGGAATTCTTTACTTATGTCGGCAATCAGCATTTTATTCGGGACGAAATAATTGAACCAAATTTGAGCATGCATCGAATGCCAAATCCTCAGAGTTGCAGAATATGACAAACAATGCTGCACATAGTTGCCAGTTCCTTGAGTTTTGCCTCATTGAAATATCAAGCCATCAAAAGTTTTGACACTTGATAATAATCGCTGACGAAATAACGTTTATTTATTAAAAAAATCGGAATTATAAACATCGTTCCTGATAAAGAAAGCAAGCAATCTGTAGAAGTAACCACACCAACATTACGGGAAACTTTTTGTAGCGTTCAAGTAAAGTTCCCACAACCACATGTGAAAACTACTTTCAGAAATCTCTACTCCACAACAAAGGAAAACGAAAGAACCTTTGCATTCTTTTCACAAAAGGGTAACCAGAACAATATAAACTTTTCATAGGATTAATAAAAAAGAAGGGAGAAAAAACCTGAAAAACAAGACCAGCGAGAAGGTACTTCCAATTCTCCGCCAGGAGGTTGATCTCTGTAGTTGTTTCTGCACAAACTCTCTTCCATAGCTGCACATCAAGACATTCAAACATATATTAAAATCAACATAAAAGAAAAATCATACCCAGATGAATAACAAGCTGAAGTAAACATGGAAACATGGAAAACGGTTACAAAAAAAAAAAAAAAAAAACCAACCTTGGAAGCTTCGCGACCAATGTAAAGCGACATGTTCTTCTTGTTTGAGTTTTTGCTGTTGTTGTTGTTCTTGTTGGTGGTGGTGCTGATGATGTTGTTGATGTTGTTGTAACCGTATGACGACCACTTCCATATTACTTCATAACGACATTCTTAAGGTGGACATCATTGCCCTCAAAAACAACAATCGCATCAAAACCCAGATAGGAATCAATCCCTTTTCCACTTTCCCACTCTGAAAAACTGAACCTTTGCTTGGAAAAACACACACCCACAAAGCAGAATCCAGAGAAAAAACACAACTGGGTATTCAAAAAATGGGGTTCAAAACGCAGAGAAAAGGTGATAAAGAAGAAGAAGACGAACAGAAGAGGATCTGATGAGAAAAAGTGAAACCCAGAAAGATGGAGATCGAGAGAACCCAGTTGATGATCACAAAATGCCCAGTTCCCAGAAGAATTAATTAAAAAAAAAAAATGGGGGTTCTCTAAAATGGAACGAAAATTGCAATGGTGAAAAGGGGGTGTTTGGGCTTTGCTTTCTCTCTCTAGACTCTCTCTCTCTTCTCTCTGTTCCTCCCTGGGAATGCTTTCTCTCTCTGATTCTCTTCCCTTTCTCGCTTGGTCTAACTGCAATGCACGCGAGTTGAATACGGGAAGACGGTTAAGAAGAGGAGGAGAATAAACACTATATATATATATAAAGCAAAGTTCCTTTTTTTTTTTATATTCACATTTTAAAATATAAAAAAATAAATAAATAAAAGTTGATTTTTCTATTACGATTTTGATTTTGAATTGGAAAACGAAAAACGAGGGGAAGATGACGAAGAGTGATCAGAAACATACTTTTCCTCCTTTGACGCCACCAACACACGTTGTCCCTCTTTAATCACTTTCTCTCTCCTGTTGAGGGCGCAGTTACTAGGAAAGTGAGAGAAACAGACAACAAAATAGAATGTTCCAGCTTTGGAAAATTACTATTACTTAATTGAAAAAAAAAAAAAAAAAGGAACGATAATTTTAATGGTGGCTAATAGAAACAGTGATTTAGTAGATGAAAGAGATGGCTGTAGAAATTCTCGTGTCCACCGGCTTCGGCCTGCAAATTTATGTTGGTTGGTGCGCAGTGATTTTTTCCTTTTTTAAAAAATAGGCTTACTTTAATTTTTGTATTTATATAAGTTATGCAAAAAAAAAAAAATTAAATGAATGTAATAAATTTGCTTTTACTTTTGTATAGAATCTTTTGTTTTTACAAATCATTGAATGTTATTATAAAGTTTTGTCGTTGTTTTCACACTTTCAAGTTATGAAATTAATTTTTGTTTAAATGTTGAAGTTGTTGCAAAGATATTTTTCCTTTTTAAAAAAACACAGACTGACTTTTTTTTTCTTTTTATGAAGTCCTTTTAAGTGCTTGTAATTTAATTTATATACCTTTTGTTTATCAGAAAAATATTTTTGCAGTTAAGATAAATTATCTGCATTTACTTTCAAAATAACTTCATTTTGAGATTGAAAGATTAAAAAATTATAATTATAAAGACTATAATAACACTGAAATAAATTAAAATTATAAAAAAATCATGATTTTCGTCCCCAAAACGACATCGTATTAAACTTACTGCAGATAACTTATATACACTAACTGCAGGGAAGCGAACCCTTTGTTTATTTTATTATTAATTTTCTTTTTTTATTTGGTATATACATTTATCAAATCTTTTGTTTTTACAAAGTAAAAAATATTTGTCCTCTTAAATTATTTAATTTTGTGTCATTTTAAATAAAAAGAAGTTATTTTCATATATAATTAGAGATTTTTTACCTCCTCCTCTCTTTCTAATTTTAAGGAAGAGAACAAATGTAAAAGTATTAATTATATACCAAAATAATGATTTAAAATCACAAATACTTTTTCCTTTTACAAATTAGAGAGTTTTATAAAAAAAATTCACACTTACAAGATATGAAATTAAGTTTGTTCAAATATTCAAAGTTGTTCCTTATACAAACCTCTTTTATGCTATATCAAATCTCTACATTGCTTATTAACAATGAATATTATGATTAGTCAAAGAATGAAGTGCCTCTAGTTAATAATGAATTTTGCAAAAATATGACAATTTTTTGTCCAGGTGATTACATTACTTAATTAATAAGTTGTAGGATGTAAGGAAAGACAGTTAAAGTGCCTTTAGTTAAGAATTAATATTGCAAAAATATAATACATTTTTTTAAGACTATGACAGTACTTAATTAATAAGTTATTGGACGTTCACCAAAAAAAAAAATTATTGGACGGTGCAAAAATATTAAATTAAATATATAAATTAAGGATTTTAAAGTTTTTCCTACAAGTAATAGATAATTTTATATGAGTTTGGTGTTTGTCATTTTAAATGACATAAGTTATGTCATTTTAGGAGAGAGATAGACACAGAAAAACAGAAATTATGCGAGAGAGAAAGTGAGTGATTTTTTTAATTTAAAATTTAAATAAAATTCTTTTTATGTGTCTGTCTCTCTCTCGTAACGACATAACCTTATGTCATTTAAAATGATAAACATTTTTCTCATTTTATGTTGGGTTTTATAATTCTCATGTTGAAAGAGAATTGAAATCTCATGTTGTAGAGATAAAAAACATATGGGACCCATGTGTTAGAAAAAAATTATATGTAAGACCCATGTCAGCACAGAAATCTCATGTTGAAAGAGAATTGAAATCTCATGTTGTAGAGATAAAAAACATATGGGACCCATGTGTTAGAAAAAAAAATTATATGTAAGACCCATGAGAATTGTAATTCTCATGTTAAATGAGAATTATAAAACCCTTTTATATTATACATTTACGTGAGAATGAGTAAAACTTTATAAGAGAAAAGTGAAAAAAAAATGAATCACATTCTCTCTTATATAAATGAAAGAGATATCCTCTGGCGCCCAAAAATTTTCGGTTGGGGGATTAGTCTCGTCTTTTCTCCGGTTGTGAAGCTTAGTGCACCCACTGTTACAATGAAGGGCTAGCCCAAACGGGCCATACCCCGAGGGCATGGTGCCTGGAGAAAGTTGAATGGGGATACCTCCTGACAATGTACCAAAAAAAAATAAAAGAGATAAAATTACTCTAACTTCAAGGAAAAATATTAATTTCCTAAGCTAATTATCAAAATAAGTTTGTTTTTATATTTAAAATTTATTTTTATATATATATATATATGGAAAAAGTATATTTACAAACTTTTACAAACTACACTAAGCGGTCATACTTCAATCAAGAGTGTATGACAATCATACTTCAATTAAGAGTATATGATAATAATTTGTAAAAAGAAAATGTAACCGAATCATTTTCCATATATGTATTATAAAAATGAATTAAAATCATACATGTTATGAAAGTAATTTATTTTAATAACATTAGTCATAGGAAGAGAAGCGGAAACGCGTCTCCCTATGATCTCTCTCCCTCGTTTTCGACTTTGCGTATTTGAATTTGAAACTATGGTTAGGGTCCACGTGGCAAGGACAACCCGGCTTTTGTAATTGCCATGTCTGTCCTCTTACGCACGTCATTTTGTCACTCTATATGGGAATCCACGTGGCAAGGACACTCGATGATCGAAATCAAATTTCAAAATTTATATTAATGACAAAAATAATTAAGCATTAAAATTTCTGTAGTTGATTTATGGAAAAAGTGTTTATTCATTTAAATGACACAACTTATAACATTTCGTTCTCATAAAGAGGTGGAACTCATATCTTTATTTTTTTTGTCAACTCTCTCTTCTCCTTTATCTATATCTTTCTTTCTCTTAAAATGACACAATTTTACATCTTTTAAAATGATACACATTATTCCCTTTATTTATTGATAAAAAAGAGAAAAATGTGTCATTTTAAAGGTTTTAAAGTCGTGTGACTTGTGACATTTTAAGTGAGAGAAAGAGATAAATCACGGAGGAGAGAGAATTGACAAAAAAAAAGGTGTAAGTCTCATCTCTTTGTGAGAGTGAAATGATACAAGTTGTGTCATTTAAAAGGACAATTTCCCTATAAAGAATACTTAAATTGATGTTGTCGGGTTCCAATTTTGAATATACAGTAATGTTAAAATTTGGTATAAAGAATTTTACTTCTTATTATCTGTTCTGGATATTCATCTTAGTAATCAATTGGGTTTAATTTTTCATAGTCTATATCTAGAATCTTTTAGAGGGCATCCATGAAAAGTCAGAGAGGCTCACCAATGGAATATTCTCATTTCCTTACACTGTTGCCCCTATACACTGACAGTAGGCAGCGTGTCTTGTCTCAAGACAAGACATAACTTGATGAGACAGCTCATGGGACTAACCAGTTGGCTCCTTCATGCTGAAAAAGGCTTTCCTCTCTAAAAAAACCCCTCACACATGGAGGGAGATTCTCTCTTCTATTCTCTACCTATGATGTTACTCTACACCTCTGTAGAGTCATCTTTGCCACACCCGCCTTTATGCACACCATGGGAAGCCTCTTTAGTCTTTGGTCTCTACCATCACTATAAGCACCTCTATATTAACATATTTCATCATTCATGGAACACATTTATGTACCACCAACGGTACATCATCTATCGGATTTTAATTTGAATTAGTAAGAGATGATCTATCATTAAAAATATATAGATGGAATATATATATATATATATATATATATATATATATATATATATATATGAAAAGTCTGATTATATAGAAAGTAAATACAAATCTAATATTGGTACAAGTTATATTTACAATCAATTAAATTTATCACCTCTTAAAATCTTTTTTGAAACCGTTAAATAAAATCAAATCAACCATTATTATTTAATACATATTTTCTTTGTCTCGTTCTTCAAGTACTTTGTCTATTTTCTTTCATATCTTCCTTTTTTTATCATGTTCTAAGTCACTATCTAACATTACAAATAAAAGACATTAAAAGGTAATAAATTTAGTTAGTAATAAGTATAACTATGCTCATTTAATGGTTTCCAAAAAAAAAAATATTCCCATTTAATATTATGAAAAACATGTATAAAATATTATTTTATACAAAATGATACTATTTTATGTTAAAGGATTTATACAAAATGATACTAATGGCATGTTTGGTGCATAGTATAGGATAAAGCCTGATAGTCTAAGATCTGATAGTATAAGATTTGATTAAATTTTAATATTATCCAACGTTTGGTATGATATTGTATAAGATAATATCCTCCAATATTTTAAAAGTTAATATATTAAAAAAATTTATTTTAATATATAAATATTGAAATGATATATTAGTTCTTGGGAATTGTACTTGTAAGCAATATTAATACATCACCTCCTTATCAGGCCTAATCCACCACTCCTAGGCCGGATTAAGTTATACATCATTTTGATGTATAAAGGGGTCCTGCTGTATAAGCTTATACTATACGATGGTCACACCAAATAACTGAAAATATTATAACGTATAGTATAAGTTTATACTATCATGTCTTATACATCACACCAACCAGACCTAAGGTGCAATGTGTTTCATTTGTTTTTTATGTCATGTACGGAATGAACATTAATAATTGACGACCAGAGTGGGCTAACTTCGTCATGGATGGGTCAACAGGTGGTCAAGTCAGGTGCAATCTGCAAATTTCAAGAAATTTTTGTATATTTTAAAAAGAGAAAAGTGT